ATGACAGGTGAGTTGCCAATCGCTGTTATTCCCATCGACATTACACCTCACAAAACATCTACAAGCATATCAATGAACAAATGAACAAATTGTAATCCTTAACATATATACCTAATAAGGGATATGTATGTCAGATTACTCCGTATATATAAGCAATTCAAGCCTCAAAGATTTTTTTGAATATGAAAGAGCAGGTAACCGCCAGCAGAAGGTACACCTGTGATGCAAAGACGGGACCGTCAGTGTGTCGAAGACTGCTGTGGAGGAAAGAGTGTGGCTCCTCATCTCAACGCTGGACTGACTCGACTACACTTGACTTGCTTTTTCAAGAGTGTGTGCTACTTATGCTCAAGTATTTTAAGGGTGAGTACGCACGGTTCTGCGTTGGTCGTTTATGCGGTATATTTTTTTTTCTTTTTGTGTGGTCCAGAAATGTGCAGATTTATGACAAATGATGGATTGATGTAGAGCAGTTTAGAAAGGGAGAATTTCCCGAATATGGCGCCCGTAGTGAATGTATAGGGAATCTCTGTCGACTGTCAACGGTTTCCGAAGATAACCTGACATTTCATATTTTATTGCAAAAAGAAAATCAATTCGATAATGATAAGATGCAAGGGTGCCTCTTAACCTACATGTTCTTAATGGATCGAAGTTTACATAGTTGATAACAAAGATACCGTAACATGATTATTACATGCAAGGCCATGACATGAAATCATGGTGCATAATTACATTGTTCATTTTGTCATGACTTATTTGAAGCTTGGGACGACTGAAATACATGATAAGAGGCTCTGGAGGTCAAAGTTCCAGCATTGTCATTTTCTCTCACTGTCTCTTTGTTTGTTTTTTATGGGGTTAATTGATCTGTGTGGGTAGTTTAGTATTTATGTCAATCAGTCACCATTATTACCTCCGCCAAGGAGTTTATGTTTTTGGTCGCGTTTGTTTGTTCGTTCGATCGTTGGATAGCAAGATACTCAGGAAATAATAAATAGATTTTTCAGAAATGTTTACCAGAGGTGTGTCTTAGCCTAACTTAGATGCCATTATATTTGTGGTGGCCATCTGTGTACTATCTGTACGTTAGCAAGATTACTCAGAAAGTTATGAACAAAATCTTTATTTTATCTTTTTTTTTTATTTCTTTATTTTTTTATGAGGCGTGTCTTAGCCTAACTTGGGTTCCATTAAATGTTCGTGGTGATCCGGATCCAAGAATTTTTTGAATGATTGAAATTGTCACCATTATTGCCTTGCCTGCGTCAAGGAGGTCATGTTTACGGACGTCACCTGTGTACTTGAGAAAGATTAATCTAATGTAATTCTTTAAGTGTGAATATTTTTATTGCAACAGTGACCTTACTGCCTTGGCGGAGGTATGCGCTCTCTAAGTGCCTCTAGTTGATGGTATTGTTAGCATTAGGGCCATCATTACTACCATCATTAGCATCAATATCAGTATCATAACCATAATCACTATCACCACCACCACTTCGGTACGACCACCATCACCAACACCAACACCAGCCTCACCTTTATTGTCACCAAGACAAGTACGATCATCTTTAAAATCATCAGCATCACCACCACAATAATAATCACCACCCTTTATCTTCACCATTACCACCAATATATCCATAATCACCACCACCACCACCAACAACGCCATCACCATCACCACCATCACCACTACTACCTTCATCATCACAATCAGTACCATCATCACTATACTGACCATCTTGACCTCCATCGCTGTCCTATTTCACCGCCGCGTGACGCCAAACACGATGACACTCTATAAACGAGAGGTTAACCAAAGCTGTAAAACGTGACCTGAAATTCATTCCCTTTTCCAGTTTTCTACAACAGAAAATTGCTGCCATACTCCTTGTATAACCTATATATGGTGATAAATGTGTATTGTACTTTATATTTGTTAACTTTTTATATTTGTTAACTTTTTCGCAGAAAATGTTTGATTTAGGCCCGTAGTCCATGGAAAAGTATCACGTGTTGATATGATAGAGAGAAGTCTTTTCTAGCTTATGTTAATCACAACAGAGATTAAAGTTACATTACTAATAAAGATAATGAAGATTGTTGCTACTGTGATGATTACGATTGCCAGTATCATTATTATGAATATTTATTGTTTTTGAATCCCGTAACAATTCAGTAGGTAAACAAAGTCGCTCACCAAAATCCTTCCACAAAAAGGATGTTCCTCTTTAAAGGGGAAAATGATGAATGAATAAGATAAACAAAAGTTAAAAATGATAATCTACCGTGTTTTGTGTCTCGTGGTCGAAAGGGATTTTCTGGACCCAAACAGCGGTGAAAAGTCCCTGTAGAGAAAGCCCGTTTGGGTCTGCTAAGCGGAATATTCATTGGATACACACATACACACTTTTTCTTGTGTACACATGCACGTGTGCTTACGCATCCATGCATACAATTGTGTAAACACGCACGTGTAAGCAAATTTGAATGCTTGTGGAAGCACGCATGTACACGCTCATCAGTCAGTCAGTCAGTTATTCACTCATTCAATTATTTACACATTTTCTCTCTCTCTCTCTCTCTCTCTCTCTCTCTCTCTCACACACACACACACACACACACACACACACACACACACACACACACACACACACACACACACACACACACACACACACACACACACACACACACACTCACTCACTCACAAACCCCCAAAAAAAAAGATAAAATATCTTATACAATGGGATTGAAATGTAACGCAGTCAGCCTTGGCATCGCACATTAATGAGAATTTATGACACTAATGATTACACACACAATTGACCACGTTGTCAAGCCCGAGTGCACCCTCGCTCAAGGTAGACCTATGTAATGTAAAACAAAAATGTGCACAAGCTATTTTCTCGTTGATAGAAACTTACACGCCAAAAAGAAAGAAAGAAAAAAAGAATTATAAAGAGACGGTGATTTGCGAGACGCGCCAAATCGCAGAAAATCAGCTGTGAGATGAGGTTAGTGGGCCGAATCAAGTGAGGAGGAGGAGAGAGAGGGAGTGCAGACAATGGCTCGATTTTTTTACGCTCATTGTAGCGTCTTCACCTCGGGAGATGTCGCGAGAATGCCAGAGGTGTTCTTTGTTCGTAGTGAAGGGGTTAAGGCCCTATCACAAGCACTTTTTCCGTCAATTTCTGGGGTTGCGTCTGAATTTGAGGCTTTCCGCAAGGATCGTCTGCAAAAGGAACGCTTCCCAGACCAAGACGGTTACGACCGTTTCCGTCTGACTAATTTCCGTGTTGATATTGTGCTATTGATAAATTAGATATGATGAGTGAATGTAAACATAAGCTAATATTTTAGAACATTCGTATGTACAATATACATCATATTTCTTTAAAATAACGTTATATGTATGAGGAGTATGAGGATGTTCGTGTGATTCACTCCGATAGCGCCATGTTTGTTTACATGATTGTCATACGGAGTTCATTCGGAAACGCAAAAAAATGACGGAATAAGTGCTAGTGTGATAGGGCCTTTAGGTTAGGTTAGGTACAAGGGAGATTTTTTTTTTTTTATTAAAGGGTGATGAGTGGTAGGTGACGGTGTTGTGTGGTATGTGTCGTGTGTAAGTGTTGGCTGAAGGTGCCTTAATGGTAATGGTGATTATAGGTGGTGGTGATTAGTAAGGTAATAAGGATTATAGTAATGATGATGAATATCATTATGTGATATAATAGGGAAAGACACCATGTGTTAGAGATGGCGTTATTAGGTTTAAGTTGATGTCATATGGTGTGTGAAGAGGTTTTGTATTGCCTGTTATTGTTCTATATCAAACCATGTCATGTGAAAATTAAAGGCTTGAGTTTCCACGTGTTAGAGTGTAAAATCTTAGAGCAAGTAAATTCATATAAAAATAGCTATCAATGGCAAGTGTAAGACATTAAGACAGGTGAAGTACTGTTATAGAAATGCCTTCATTAGCGAGTGTAAATATTAGGATACCCAAATTCACGTAACATTTGTTTTTATAAACAAGTGTGAATTTTAAATTGTGAAAGGTTGCTTTAATTAGCAAGTGTATAATATTGGGACAGGTAAACTCGTGAGAAAAAGAAAACATTAGTTAGCATTTAATACGAAGAGAAATAAGCAAGTGGAAAACTTCCATATGACAAACGGAACCAACTTAACATACCATGTGTTTGATTAAAGTGTTATGTGTTGGTTGAAGTAAAGGTGTCACATGCCAGTGGAATGTCATATGGAACCCATTCTTACATAAAAGTATCTGATGATAACACCATAATGATATCAAATGGTTAACAGAATGTAAACAAACAAAATACATGGAATGCTAATTAATGCAAGAAAAAGACTTAAAATGTTGAGCATTAACTTGATAACTGCAACCTAGATATAACACAAAATACACTATATGGTTTTAATAAGAGCAATCATAAAACATAAATCACTTTGAGGCTGATTTCGAAGCACCGGGGAAAAAGGTAAAAACGAAAGAAAAATACTGAATATCTGCATTAGTTTCGTAAGAACTTAAAACTGTTTATTTACAGATATAGATATTCAGTATTAAAAAAAAAAAAAACTAGTATTCATGTTTTTTTTTTAGAAAATACAAATTGCTGAAGAAAATATTATTTTGGACGCCTGGATCCCGTGACAGAGCAGTGTAAGACGGCAACACTCGCGAAGACCATCTGCTACAGGAAAGTGGAGCGACCCCCTCCCCCCCATTACCCACTGCCGCGTAACCCCCCCTCCCCCAACCTATCTCACCCACCCACCCACCCCACCCTATTTCTCTGACCGCCCCCCCCCTTCCGCACCCCCCCCCTTTCATGAGATCGCCCCCCATCTCTTTCCTTCTTTTCTCTTCCTTCGAGACACATCCTTCCCGCTTAGTACGGCGGCGCGCGCGAATGACTAATTAGGTTGATGGCTATTTCGGCGTGAGGAGAAAGTGAGGAAGCTGGGGACAGGAGCATGTGGCGGAGGGGACCTTTGTGGGCTATGTGCACAGACGGGCACACAGACACATAAAACATACAGACATGTAGAATAAAGACACTCACAGACGCACATTCACTCACCCCCATATCCACACACACACACACACACACACACACACACACACACACACACACACACACACACACACACACACACACACACACACATACACACACATACACACACATACACACACACACACACACACACACACACACACACACACACACACACACACACACACACACACACACACACACACACACACACACACACACACACAACACACACACACACACACACACACAACACACACACAT